ACCGAAACCTGAAAATACAAAACTCCTAGAAGGAAACATAGGGTGAGCATTTACTTCAGTGAAACTTGAATCTATACACACAGATTGCCGAAAACAAAAGGGAAGAGTAGAAGGAAGAAACACACAGACAATGCAATCTGTTTTCCTTTTTCTGTGATGGGACACCAAAATCACCACGAATTCATGCAAATATAAACACGTAGGATGAGGGAAACCTTTAGAGGTGTTCCGTGAGAACGATACCAATGAATCGAAAGAGAAGATGTCCTACAGATTTGGAGACAGATCTGAAAAACCATCTCTGAAAGCAGTAGTTATCTAACACGTGCAAGAAACTGACACCACTGTGTTTGGGGAAAAACCAAAAAACCAAGACAAAACCAAAACAACACTAATGCCAAAGCTAAAACTGGGCAAAGGCCCTTGATGAGACATTTCTGAAAAGATGACGTGAATTAACTAATGAGTCAAGAAGAAGTTGCTCAACTTTATCATTTCTCCCACAAAGGTTAAGTCCAAACCACAGATCTGCTGGGATCCTGGAGAATGTAAATTCTGACTCAGTAAGTCTGGACTGAGCCTGAGATTGATTTAGCTCATTGCTAAAACGTTCCTTCCCTCCAAAATCCACATGTATGTATTAATATTACCAAGTTAATAAGAATGGTCAAAAATAAAAAGGGAAGCCATTAGCAGACAACCTCAGTCTTCCTCTTCAGTGTTTCAGTCCTGTGGGGTCATGGGTCTGTGTGAGGTCTCAGCAGCTGCCTCTCTCAATGTCTCCCCAGGGGACAGCAAGGTGAACCCTGGGGCAGGAAGAGAGGGGAAGCTGATTTGCATAAAGAACTTTTTTATCCTGTTGGGTCTGGGGAGGCATGAAAAGGCCCTGAGGAAAACAAACCCCAGCTGAGAAGCCTGAAGACACTTAGCCTTCGTGAGTGTCCCCATCATGGCCTGGATGATGCTTCTCCTCGGACTACTTGCTTATGGCTCAGGTCAGGCGAAGGGACTCTATCCTTGCGGGGACCACACAAAACAGGGTCCAGGTTACTCTCATCCTTATGATAACAACTGTGTCTCTCCTGTTGGTTTTAGGGGTGGATTCTCAGACTGTGGTGACCCAGGAGCCATCGTTCTCAGTGTCCCCTGGAGGGACAGTCACACTCACCTGTGGCCTGAACTCTGGCTCAGTCTCTACCAGTTACTACCCCAGCTGGTACCAGCAGACCCCAGGCCACGCTCCACGAATGCTCATCTACAGCACAAACAATCGCCCTTCTGGGGTCCCTGATCGCTTCTCTGGCTCCATCCTTGGGAACAAAGCTGCCCTCACCATCACAGGGGCTCAGGCAGATGATGAATCTGATTATTACTGTATGCTGTACATGGGTAGTGGCATTTCCACAGTGATTTAAACCTATGAGGAAGTGCAACTAAAACCTCTTTATATACTAAGAACAGTTCAGCTCTTAGAGTCAGGAGGGAAAGGGAGAGGGTGGAAATGGTCAATGCCGTGAGTGAGGAGGCCCCTTGCCCCAATCTCTTATGCAGGGGTTCACTGCCAAGTGTCTCATCCAGTTCTCTCTCCGGATGTGTCCACTTCCCCAGTGTGACTTTTCCATGGCTGTGCTTCCTCTCTCCCTCTCTACCTAGAATAATGTGGAGGAGAATTATCTACAAAATATGTAAGCTCACATTGAGTCACAGAGACCCCAGTGCTCCAGCAAGACACTTCTTATTCAGAGAGAATTAACAGGTACATGTTCATTCATTAATTTGACCATGAAGGCTGACTTAATATTTTATTACTGAAGGGGGAGCATTTTCAGGGGGCTTCTTAAAAATGCAATTCTCCAACCTAAACCTACAAGTCAGAAGCTTGTGTTGGTGCCGGATAGCCTGTATTTAACAAGATGTACGTGAGATTTTTTTATTAGCATTAATGTTTGGGAAGAACCTACTTTTATTATTATAAAATTATTCCTAGGGATCTCCATTTAAAATGATCTCAGGTCATATTCCATGATTCTACTCTCCTAAATTTCCATTTAAAACCCTCCAATTACTCAGAAACAGATTGAAAATCTCAAGCCACAGCAAAAATTATAACTTGATTTATACAGACAGAGTTGGGAGGAATTTCTGAAAGCATACATTCCTAGGTGCCAGGCGTGGTAACTCATGCCTATAATCCCAAAACTTTGGGAGGCTGAGGCAAGAGGACTGCTTGAAGCCAGGAGTTTGAGACCAGTGCCCTCCACAGAGCGAGACTCCATCACCACAAAAGAAAGAAAAAAGATACAAGTCCCTTTAACAATTTCCAAAAACATGTTTCCTTAGGGGACATTTAGTGGTACGTATGGATATCTGTTATTGAAAACCATTCCATAAATGACCGGCTTCCAGCATGCCTTCTTTCTCTTACTGAGCTCACCTACGGCCCCGGCTCTCAAGGTCTTCAAAGGACACAGGACTCAGTCTTTCCCATCTTCCACCCCTTGTCACAGTTTGTTCCACAGAATCATGGCTCCACTGAGATCCTCTCAGCATAAATATGTGCTTGTCTTGAACAGCATCTCTTAACATAATGTTGCCAAGACAGAGAGGTTCAAGGGGTGACGGGGCCTCAGAGCCACCAGAAGATGGCAGTGATCTCACTGCTGAGCTTTGCTGGGCTAGACTCAGGCTCCCTCCCTCCTTCCTTCCTCTGACTCTTTCTCCCGGAAGTTCCTGGGGTCCAGGAGCTTCCTCCAGGGGTCCAGGAACTTCCTCCACTCAATCTGGGCTCTGGGGTCACCTCAGAGAACCTCTCAATAAGATAGAGGAGGTGCTTCAGCAGATCTAACAAAAGTGAGGGCAGGTCTTAAGAGTATCCATACACTGTGAAAAGAAACAAACCACCCTTACTTGTTCTGTGCACCTGAGTCCTTAGGACTGTTTTCCTCATCTCCTGGCTGTGTCGAGATTGCAAATGTGCAGTTTATTATCCAGATGAAGAGAAATCCATGACGGTTTATGAGGATGAAGACGACAACTACCCTATCTACTTGTCACACAATTAAGACACTGGCCTAAGATCTGTCAGTGGCCTGGAACATTCTGGAAGAAGAGGGTGATGGTTACTTGGCACGTTTTGGGACTCAAACATGAGGATTTCATGATGACCCAGAAGGATAAAGGTGGGATCAGTTGTGAGGGTGGAAAATGTGGATTTCTTAAGGCCATTTTGTTGGGTCCTTTACTCACTGCAAAGGATTCAAAGTGAAACACGCATAATTTTTCGAATAAATGCTTATGAGGCTTTCCCACCTTCTTCCTACCCCCGTCCCATCAAATGCTATGACTGCTAGTGACACTGAATTGAAATTACAACCCACAGGTTTTGCTCCAAAAAGCAAAACACCCGAGAAAAGCTCATTGTTTTAAAATCAAGAATCTATGAAAGCAATGTCACCCTAATCCTAAGGTGCTTCTAAGGTATTTCCAAAGCTGTTTGCTCTTTTATACTGCAGCATTTTCAGGAGGAGACATGAGATACTGTCAAGATCCAAGAAATCACTAAAACAAAAAAGAACCTGAGACTCTTTTCTGCATGACCACCAGCTGCCCAGTACCCTAGGTCACCTTTTGCAGCAGTGAGCACAGCAATCCATGCCACAAAAATCTTCACAAAGCAAGGAGGAAAGGTACAAGAAGAATTACATCAAAACAGTAACATACGTTTGTATGTATGAGGGAGGGATATTTAAAATTAAAATATTGTATCATCACAAAGATCAGATATTCCTCGCTCTGCCCTTGAGCAACCAAGAAAATTAAAGCCTGTTTTATGTCCCAAAAATAAAAGAGAGACTTGATGGAAGTAACAGGACTCAGTGCTTTCAATCCAAGTCAATTTGTATACTCTTGTTAGATAAGTTCAAATTCTAAAGGATACAAAAACTCTGTTAAATCAAGAGGAAAAAATTCATTTTAGGATAAAGTTATTCAAGATGAAAGAAAGGCATGTCTTCAGTGAGAGAACTGCTTGCCGTCGGATGATCTCTTGCTAATGTGTTTCAAGATTTTGGACTTCTCAACTTTCTTGGTTTTCTGGTAGCCAAATCCACCACCACCTCCTTGCTTTTTCTGCTTCCTTTCATTGCTGTTGACATTCAGATCAATAAAGGAAGGCACCTTGAAACGAAATGACAGAACAACTTGAGGCAAATTTAAGTTATTAACATTAAAGATCTGTTTCAGAGAATGGGAATCATAGGCTCAGATGTTTGATTTATATGCTTCCTAGGCTGACTTATGAAGAAAGTAGTTCTTTTTAATTTCTCAAGCTGAGACTGAATGTCAGAGATTTTAGAAAAAGGAAAAGTCAAATTCACTTAATGCAACCTTGGATTGTTTCAAGTAGTGAAGAAAACCCAATTCTTCTGGGTGCAAAATGAGCAAGGCATGCCCTCTTCCATTTAGGCCTCTGGCTGTTTTACCCACATGATGAATACATTCCATCGGGTCATCTGGAGGATAATACTGAAATCCAGTCGACTTCAGGAATGTCCAGTTCTCTTGCTGCCACATCTGTACACAATAGTGTTCCTGAATCTCCCTTGTGGAACTGAAAGAATGTGGCTGTATGCTTATTTTGCTTTTGCTGTGCATGAATGGCACATCAATGTAGTTTAGCAACACACACTGGTATTTAATGGACATGCACGATGAAAGGAAGACCATCACCTTCTTCTTTTGGTTCTCCTTAAGGAATGTAAAGAGCAGAAGGAATCTCTTTTCAGGACAAACAACATATCCCTGCTCAAGACCATCCACTGTTGCATTAGTTTTATATCATCAACACCAACATACAATAGGCTCCTTTGCAGAGAAATCCTTGCCAGGTCTTCAACTTTTCGAGTTTGGGTAACAGAAAAGAGCACAGTCTGTCTATATGTTGGCAAAAGTTCAATAATTTGCTTCAATTCATCTTCAAACCCAACATCCAAGGTACAATCAGTTTCATCAATAACCAGACACTGCAGGTTTTTATGAATAAACCCTGGGGTATTTTGCATATGGTCCAGCAGGTGACCTGGTGTGGCCACAATGATGCTGATCCCATTAGCAAGTTTCTGTGTTTCAGCAGATCTGTCACTGCCACCCATTATCAACCCCTAGGTGTGCACGTGGTGAGTCATTAGCTCCTTAAGAACACCAAAATTTGCATGGCCAGTTCTCTAGCAGGTGAAAGAATATGGACTCCCATTCCATTCCTGGGCATAAACTTTAACTTAAGAAGTTCAACTGCAGGGATGAGGAAAGCCAGGGTTTTACCACTGCCGGTTTTTGCAGCTGCTAGAAGATCCCTGTCTTCCAGAAGTGGTCTGATACTTTTATGCTGAATTTCAGTCATGTTTGTAAAACTCATTTCTTCTACTGCCTTCAGAGTGTTTTCATTGACAAGATTACATAGAGAAGCAAATGAAGTATCCTCAAAAGCTCCTGTCAGTCCCAGGGACAGGCTGGGCACCTCATGTCATCTTCATCATTATCTGGCTCCTCCACATTATTTTCTGTTTGTTTAGGAGTCTAGGCAATTTCTTCTGCAGATTCGTCTCTTTTCAGTTTTGGCTTTTTTTTGTATCAGGCCCAGCATCATTCACCATTTTTCTTTTTCTTCTTCGTTTTCTTTTTTGATTCTGAATTGGGAGACGGCATTGCTGCTTCTCCATTAGTTAATACAGCAGATTTCTGGGGAGATTTAAAAACTTTCAAATTTTCCACTGCTTCTTGAGACACATCTCCATTTTGAGCTTCTGACAGGCCCAGATTCATAGAATGTTTTGATTTTTTAATCTTTCTACCTCCCACTGTTTCTTCAGACACATCTCCATTTTCAGTTTCTGACAGGGTCAGATTTGAGGCCCCCTGCAACATTAGGTTCTGCTGCTGCAATTTGAGGTTTTGCTTCTTGATCTTCTTGTGCGGGAGTTTCATCGGTAGGTGAGACATATTGTCCAAGAAGTGCCTAGACCACGGTACCACTCAGTACAGCTACTCAGTTTGGCGGGCTGACGTGACAACATTTTCTCCGCCCCCCACCCCGCCCATTAACCTCAATAGGGAAAATATTTTTTTTTTTTTTTTTTTTTTTTGAGACAGAGCCTTGCTCTGGCACCAGACACCAGGCTGGAGTTCAGTGACGCAATCTCGACTCACTGCAATCTCTGCCTCCCGGGTTAAAGTGATTCTGCTGCCTCAGCCTCCCAAGTAGCTGGGATTACAGGTTTGCGCCACCATGCCCAGCTAATTTTTGTATTTTAGTAGACACAAGATTTCACCATCTTGGCCAGGATGGTTTCCATCTCTTGACCTTGTGATCCGCCTGCCTTGGCCTCCGTAATTGCTGGGATTACAGGCATGAGCCACCATACCCAGCCAGGAAAACATTTTCTTATTTAAGGACACCAAATTAAAAACATTCAGGAAATATGCAGTGGCTCACATCTGTAATGCAAACTACTTTGGGAGGCCAAGGCAGGAGGATCTCTTGATCCAAGGAGTTTAAGACCAGCCTGGACAACACAGTGAGACCTCATCCTTACAAAACTAAACAAAATTAGCCAGGCATTGTTGCACATGCCTATAGTGAGACCCCCTCTAAAAAAAAAAAAAAAAAAAAAAAAAACCAAAAAACCAAAAAACCCAAACGAACATAAAACAAAAATTCAACAGCATGTAGATTAGTAATGTTAGTACTTTATTTTTTAAAATGATCGTTCACTTGTATGGGTTTTCCTTTGAGAAGGTGCACTGGAGTGTGTCAGCAGAGCAGATAGCACAGACACCTCAGATTTCAGAAGCAGGGATGTGTGGTAAATGCAAAATGCCCGTCACTTGTCAGCATGCACAAGTGGCTATGCCCTCCCTACGTCAGGCTCTGTGTCAGTAGTAACGTGCTCTCTGCGTCCTTTTCAGAGTCCTGCATGCCATCTATGCTCACCCAGCCAGGCCTGCCACCTGGAAGTAACAGGCAACTCCTCCTGCACTGGAATTAGCATCAGACTCAGGTGAATAATGTGGCCTGGCCACACCATCTCTCAGCAAAAGTCCAAGATACGTTGGACTTTTGCCTGATAGTTCCCAGTTCTCCTTAAGTAAGAACTTCAAATGAATTAAAAAAAAATCAATCACTTCACTATGACACACAAGAGCATTCGCTCTCTGGCTTTGACTGTCCTTACCTGCCTTGTTATTATCATTCCATGTGCCCAATACTGTTAAAAGATGTATTTTGCCATACCCTCCACATGCATTACATATGTGTGATTTTTATTTTCAAATTCTCTCTTCTAGGAATATGGTGTGTTTTATTTGTCATGCTGCAGGACTGACCTCCCCACTCAGATTAAATTATTAAATTCTAGATAAAAAATTAACTTGGAATACTGTTGAATCCATACTAGAAGTAACAAAATAATGATATTTCAAAACAAAGATTCATTTTTAAATTTAAAAATGTTGCATACTCCACCTAGAAGAGACTGTGCTACAAATTCATTAGAACATCCCCTTCATGTCAAGGCCAGTCATGTCCCTGAACTTAACCTCTGTCTTCTCAGGCGAAGTTACAGGCCAGGGCCAGCATCAGTAGCCCAGGCTCCTCCTGGTGGAAGCTGGGAGTAGAGGCAGGAGCCTGAACTTGTGGCCTTGGCTGGGTGAAGGATGACATTTCCAAGGCTTCTTGCTTGGCAGTCATCCTCATGTGTGGGTGGCTTGGCAGCAGCACTGCAAAACTCGGGCATGGAATGCCCTTCCTACACGACCCAGTGGCAACTGTGGTGGCCATTGGCATCTGGGGCAGATGCAGCCATGTGAGTTGGTGAGCTGTGGCAGCCACCCTAATGATGGTTTCCACCCCTCCCAGATGGTGGTGGCTAAAGCCACCCAGTAGGCTATCCAACAGCAGTGGTACCATTAAGAAGAGCTCCTGGAGGAAGACTAGAAGCAACTGCTTGCATTGAAAGACCGTAGCTAGAGTGGAATAATTGAACCACATCATATTTGCAGCAAAGATGTGGAATGTATTCTAGATTATGGGATACCAAAGTTGAGGTTTATCTAGCAGAGAGCAGTGAATATGACACAGAAGCTGTCTATTGGGCGGATGCTATCAGCGGCAGGAGGTGATGGTGCAATGCATTTGCCAGTGAGTCAAGTCTCGTACAAATTTAAACCAGTTATGGGGTAAAGCCGGATCCACAACCACCTGAGGGTTACTTATGTTGGCCTGTTCAACATACGCATTTCTTCCCAGAAGCCTTACCAAAGGCCTATAGCAGTGAGTTCAGTATGGAGGCAGTGATCGGTCATACCTTGAAGCAAGTGGTATAAACTCCAATCCTGTGGGACATCATGGACAGCAACTAAATCTGAATCAACAGAGTAGAGCCCTTAACATTGAAATAGTTGACGGTGAAAGATCTGAGGCTTCAGGACTCCGACATCTGTAAATGAGAGCACTGAATGAAGTCTTTATTGGGGAACATCTATCCAGAATATCTTATGCTTGGGCTGTGGCCGTGGGTAATTTAAGTAAACCCACTCTAAAAGACTGGTTTCCCACTGCGAGATTTTGGTTAATAATGGTTCGTGGGAAAAATGGAAGGGTTCAGGGCTCAATTTGTGAGCTGGAACAGGATCAAAGGCCATTAAATATTAACAGGGTTGTAAGTCAGGCTGTGGAGCATCATTAAAATATTGCAAATGACGAGGGCATTGGAGTCTTGCATTCAACTTAGAACTGATAGAATAACAAATAAGTACCATGAATACACTGTTCCAGAGTCCAAATCAGCCAAAAATAATTTTCAGTATTCAAGAACTAAAAAGCAAGCAGTTTGCTCAAACACTCATGAGCACTGTTTCTCCTCATAGATTTGTGCTTGTTCTCACTGCTCGGACGCCTGTCTGGTTGTAGATTGAGGAATATCTTTTGACATTCCTCAATTTTTATGTCAGACAAAACAGACTTTAAAGCAGCAACAGTTACAACAGTTATAAAAGACAAAGAAAGACATTATATGATGATGAAAGGATCAGTCCAACAGAACAATATCACAATCATAAATATATATGCACCTAATGCTGAAGCTCCCAAATTTATAAAACAATTATTACTAGACCTAAGAGATGAGAGAGATGACAACACAATAATAGTAGGGGACTTCAATACTCCATTGACAGCACTAGACAGGTCATTAAGACAGAAAGTAAATAAAGAAACCATGGACTTAAACTATATTCTAGATCAAATGGACTTAACAGACACTTACAGAACATTCTGCCTAACAACTTCAGAATATACCATATTTTCATCAGCACATGGAACATTCTCCAAGACAAATCATATGGTAGGCCACAAAGCAAGTCTCAATAAATTTAAGAAAATTGAAATTATATCAGGTACCCTTTCAAACCACAATGGAATAAAACTGGAAATTAACCTCAAAAGGAATCCTTAAAACTATACAAATACATGAAAATTGAATAATCTTCTCCTGAATGACCTTTGAATCAACAATGAAATGAAGAAGGAAATTAAAAAATTGTTTGAAATGAACAATCATAGTGACATAACCTATTAAAACTTCCGGGAGACAGCAAAACTTAGAGGAAAGTTCATAGCATTAAATAGTCTGAAAGAGCATGAACAGGCAATCTAAGGTCACACCTCAAGAAGCTAGGGAAACAAGAACCAACCAAGCCCAAACCCAGAAGAAGAAAAGAAATAACAAAGATCAGAGCAGAACTAAATAAGATTGAAACAAAAAATACAAAAGATAAATGAAACAAAGACTGGTTCTTTGAAGAGATAGACAAAATTGATAGACCATTAGTGAGATTAACTGAGAAAAAAAGAGAGAAGATCCAAATAAACTCAATTAGAAATGAAATGGGAAATATCACAATGTCACAGAAAAACAAAAGATATTCAAGGCTACTATGAATACACTTATGCACACAAACTAGAAAAATCTTGAGGAGACGGATAAATTCCTAGAAATATACAACCCTCCTGCATTAAATCACAAATAAATAGAAACTCTGGGCTGGTCACAGTGGCTCACACCTGTAATCCCCGCACTTTAGGAGACTGAGGTGGGCAGATCACTTGAGGCCAGGAGTTTGAGCTCAGCCTGGCCAACACAATAAAACCCCGTCTCTACTAAAAATGCAAAAAATTAGCTGGGTGTGGTGGTGCACACTTTTAATTCCATCTACTCAGGAGGCTGAGGCAGGAGACTCACTTGAGCTTAAGGCAGAGGTTGCAGTGAGCTCAGATTAGCCACTGTACACCAGCCTGGGCAACAGAGTGAGACCCTATCAAAAAAACAGAAAGAAAGAAAGAAGCTGAACAGACTGGTAACAAGTAGTGAGACTGAAACAGTAGTAAAAAAATCGCCAACGATAAAAATATCCAGGACCAGATGGATTCACAGCTGAATTCTATCAGGCATTCAAAGAAGAATTGGTACCAATCTTACTGAAACTATTGCAAAAGATAAAGAAAGAGGAAATCCTCTGTAAATCATTCTATGAAGCCAGTACCACGTTAAGACCAAAACCAGGAAAGAACATAACACAAAAAAGAAAACTACAGACCAATAGTTCAGACTCATAGGTCTACAGACCCTGATGAACATTCAGATGCAAAAATCTTCCACAAAAGATTAGCTGAGTCCAACATTATATCAAAAAGATAATACATTACGATCACGTGGGTTTCAAGCCGGGGATGAAGGGATGGTTTAACATATGCAAGTCAATAAATGTAATTAATCACATAAAAAGAATTAAAAATTTAAAAGTATGATCAGTTGAATTGATGCCAAAAAATTTTGACAAAATCCAGGATCCATATATGATTAAAACCCCCAAAAAAACTAGCATGAAAGGGACGTACCTCAAGATAATAAAAGCCATCTATGACAAACCCATAGTCAACATTATACTGGACAGAGAAAGTCAAAAGCATTTCCCCTAATAAGTAATAACTGGAACAAACAAAGAATGTCCGCTTTCACCTCTTCTACTCAACATTGTACTGGAAGTTTTGGCCAGAGCAATTAGACAAGAGAAACAAATAAAGGCATCTAAATAGGTAAAGAGGAAGTCAAACTGTTGCTGTTCACTGTTGATATGACTGTATATGTAGAAAACCCTAAAGACTCATCCAAAAAGTTCTTAGATCTGATGCATAAATTCAGTAAAGTTTCAGGATACAAAATCAATGCACACAAATCAGTAGCACAGTTATACACCTACAGTGACCAAGCTAAGAATCAAATCAAGAACTCAACCTCTTTTACAATAGCTGCAAAAATAAAATACTTAGGAATATACCTAAACAAGGAGGTGAAAGATCTCTAACAGGAAAACTATGAGACACTGCTGAAAGATATCATAAACAACACAAACACGTGCAAACACCTCCCATGCTCATTGATGGGTAGAATCAATATCGTGAAAACGACCATACTGCTGAAAGCAATATACAAATTCAATGCAATTCCCATCGAGATATCATCATCGTTCTTCACAGTACTAGGAAAAACAATCCTAAAATTTATATGGAACCAAAAACAGCTCATGTAGCCAAAGCAAGACTAAACAAACAAAAAAAGCAAAAAGCGAACAAAAAAAAAAAACAAATCTGGAAGCATGATATTACCCACTGCAAACTGTATTACAAGGCTAGAGTTACCAAAACAGCATGGTACTGTTATAAAAATAGGCACAGAGACAAATGGAACAGAGTAGAGAACCAGACATAAAACCAAATACTTGTAGTCAACTGAACTTTGACCAAGCAAATACAAACATAAAGTGGGGAAAGGACACTATATTCAACAAATGGTACTAGATAATTTGTAAATCACATGGAGAAGAAAAAAGTTGGATCCTCATCTCTCACTTTTTACAAAAATCAACTCAAGATGAATCAGAGATTTAAATCTAAGCCCTGAAACCATAACAATTCTAGAACATAGCATTAGACAAATTATTCTAGTCATTGACTAAGGCAAAGACTTCATGACCAAGAACTAAAAAATGAATTGAACAAAAACAAAGATAAGTAGATAGGACTAAATTAAGCTAGAAAGCTTATTCACAGAAAAAGAAATAATAAGCAAAGTAAAGAGACGACCCACAGATTGGGAGGAAATATTTGCACACTATTCATCTGACGAAGGACTAATATCCAGATTCTATGAGGAGCTCAAACAAACCGGCAAGAATAAGCAATCACATCAAAAAGTGGGCAAAGGACATGAATAGACGATTCTCAAAAGAAGATATACAAATGACCAATGAAATATACAAATGAAAACATGCTCAACATCACTAATCATCAGGGAACTGCACATCAAGACCACAATGAGATACCACCTTACTCCTCTACAAATGGCCACAATTAAGAAAATTAAAAAATGGCAGATATGGGCATGGATATGATGTAAAGGGAGCACTCTTACACTGCTGGTGGGAATGTAAACTAGTACAACCACTATGGAAAACAGTATGGTGATTTCTTAAAGATCTAAAAATAGAACTACTATTTCTTTCAGTAATCCCACTACTGGGGTTACTAGAGGAAATATAGCTGGAGGATACAGGTATATACCTAGAGGAAAATGCATTATTAAATAAAAAAGATACTTGCACACATGTTTACAGCAGCACAGTTTGCAATTGCAAAAATATGGAACCAGCATAAATGCCTATTAACCAACGAGTGAATAAAGAAAACGTGGGTCGGTAGAGGAAGGAGGAGGAGGTCGGGTTGTAGAAGCTGGAGTGGCCGGCAGCGCACTCATCGGTGCTCGCGGGCTTTGTCGGTCCGTGCCTCGTCTCTCCCTGGAAAGGGAGGGAGGCTTCGACGTCGACAGGGAGCCGCTGCCGCCGTAGTTCCGAGCTTGAAGTCGCTAGGACTTCTCTCAAACTTGTGTGCTGAGGAGACAGATGTGGGCCTCATCTCCTAGGATGAACTCAGCAGATCGGCCCATGAAAACTTCTGTATTGAGACAAGGGAAAGGATCTGTTAGAAAGCAGCACTTCTTATCTTGGGCTTGGCAGCAAGGAAGAGGACAGGTATTGGAAATGCTGCTTTCTGAAAAGCAGACTGAAGGGTGACAAAGAAGCTGAAGATGGGTGGTGGAGAGCGGTATAACATTCCAGCGCCTCAATCTGGAAATGTTAGTAAGAACCAACAACAGCTTAACAGACAGACCAAGGATCAGAATTCCCAGATGAAGATTGTTCATAAGAAAAAATGAAAGAGGACATGGTTATAACGCATCAGCAGCTGCTTGGCAGGCCACGCAAAACGGTGGAAAGAACAAAAATTTTCCAAATAATCAAAGTTGGAACTCTAGCTTATCAGGTCCCAGCTTACTTTTCAAATCTCAAGCTATTCAGAACTATGCTGGTGCCGAACTTAGCGAGCTGCCATCGTCAAGTGTTCTTCCCAAACCACCAAGCCACTGGGTCCCTGTGTCCTTTAATCCTTCAGAGAAGGAAATAACGATATTTCAACTTAGAGCCTTACTTAAAGTACAGGTATAAAAAAAGACCAAGTACTTATGCTTAAATTTAGTTATGTTTATGGATAGTTGTCAATTGGTCTGAAACGAATTCGCCAGGGAGTTGATCTATTTGTGTAGAACTGCTAATTAATGTAAAAAATATAGACTGCATCTCACGTATGTGTTGTGTGCACTGTGACGTAATGGTGGTATCAGCGCAACTGAAAACTAAATTAACAATTGTACTTGATATTAAGTGTTCTCAACTGAGTAACTTTTAAGGGGAAACCAGCCAAGTTTAGATTTGGGGAGTGGTAAAGGAATCAGCTTTTTCTATTGTTAGAAGAAGACAGGAATTTATCATTCATGGACCAGACTGTTGTGTTGGTGAATCACATGATAAGCGTCTAACACAAGGAGTCAGATTTAGGTAAACATCTGCAAGTTTAGTATACTGGAAACACCCAAATCTGTAATATGCTGACAATCTGATGCACTGCTGAAAGAAAATGTGAATTTTTCTTAATAATTGTATTTTAGTGAATTATACAGTGGGTGGAAAGGACATTTGGAGCTCATTAGAATGAGACATAGTACACCCCAATGGCCCTGTTTATTAAATGTAGTGGATTAAGTGTCTGCCAACAAATACATCAAAACCATTTTTTACCAGTATTTAATGGTCACTCAATAGCTTTCAAAATACATTTTTTTTTGGTTCCTAAGTTTTATTAAAGAACACATACACAATATTCCAGATAAATGAAATTTAATCCTCGTCTTCCTCCTCTTCTTCATCCTGGTTAATCTGGAAGCAACGTAATTTGTAACTCTCTTTGCTATTAGCAACTATCTGCAACCAATCACGTAGATTATTCTTCTTCAAATATTTTTTGATGCGATATTTCAAATACCTTTTGGAGAAAGGCACCTCAGACGTCACGGTGATCTTGCTCTTGCTCCTTTCGATGGTCACCACCCTCCACCAAGGTTCCTGGCTTTTCCGTTCACTTCAATCCTTTCTTGCAAAAACTGCTCAAAATTGGCAGCATCCATGATTCCATCTTCTACAGGGTGGGTGCAATCAAGAGTGAATTTCAGAACCTGCTTCTTTTTTTCACCCCCCTTCACCACAAGCTTTCTCAGGGGAGCCATGGCGGCAGCGGAGGCAGAAAGTCAAAATACACTTTTGTATTACAGCACTGCACAAGCTATTCTAAGTGATCTGGCCTCATCCTTCATGCAAAGCTGGCTTTGGGGAGCTGTATAATGTGAAAATTTTAAGTACCTAGGGGAGAAAGAGCCATGTAAATACGTGTAATGAACTTGTAGCATATGTAAAGTTTTCTTGGCCTTTATCTTACAAAAATGGGATATTTTAGTGTGAATTTGCTGAATGTAAGACCGTGGACTGTTTTTTATAGTATGGCCTAGTTTTAAAGGTCCATAATAATTTGTTTTTTAAGTGTGCCCTTGTGCTGAAGTGCCAGTGTATGTATATTATACTTGATTTGGTTGTAAACTATATTTCAAAGCAAATCCTAGTGTGATAAGTTTTATAACTAAAAAGGTTTAAGCTGCTAAAACTATTTTTAAGAGATGTGAAATGCAGTATGGGACTATTTGTTTTTCCTCCTCTAAGCCCAAAGATTAACTAAAGGGCCCCTCCAACCTTACAGATGTTTGGCTTTCACAGTCTTCTAACCTAGGATCCAGGTGGTTTAGAGTTTGGTGCCAGTGGGGTTTGGTTTTTCTTGGTCAAGGGTGGGTGGCAAACCAACACACTACTTATGCAAAAGACAAACTCCTGCATAATACATTGATAACATGTTTTGCCAACCTTAAGAGTAATTGCTTAAATATAAGTGAAACCAATAGCAAGTTTATTTATTATTTATTATTATTATTATTTTTTAAGATGGAGTTTCACCATGTTGGTCAGGCTGGTCTTGAACTCCCGACCTCATGTGATCTGCCTACCTTGGCCTCCAAAGTGCTTGGATTACAGGCATGAGCGACCACGCCCGGCCAGCAAGTTTAAAAGGCATGTGGCTCAGTTAAAAAATTTTGTTAATGCCCTATTTTCTAATTGGCACCTCTTTTGATGCCTAAGCAGGTAAGCAGATGGCTAAGGTGTATTTCTCCAAATAAATCAAGATGAAGTACTGCCCAAGTTACATATTGATAACCTAAAGACAAATTTATGTATATATGAATTTAAAGCATAAAATTAAATTGTTTCCCCCTCAAAAAAAGAAAATGCGATATATATATATAAGCTTTATATATAAACATATATAAATACATATTTATGTATAAATATACAAATATATACATATATATAAATATATATACATAAGATTTTTTCTTCTAATATCATGGCATTATTTCATTCCCTTATACATTTGAGTAGAATTTCATAATATATACGTATACCATGCAGCAACCTGGGTGGAGTTGGAGACCATTATTGCAAATGAAGAAACTCAGGAATAGAAAACCAAACATTACATGTTCTCACTTGTAAGAGGGAGCTAAGCTTTGAAGATGCAAAGGCGTAAGAATGACATAATGGACTTTGGGGACTTGAGGGAAAGGGCGTGTGGGGGGTGATGAAGAAAATACTGCATATTGGGTACAGTGTACACTGCTTGGGTGATGGGTGCATCAAAATCTCAAATCACCACCAAAGAACTTTTCCATGCAAACAAACACCCCCTGTTCCCCCAAAACTACCAAAATAAAAACTGAATAAAAAATAGTAATTATCACTAAAAAAGAGAAATGAGAATGGCTATATGTAAAAAAATGGCCAAAGCAAGACTGAGCAAAATTGGAATTGTCTTAGTATTGTGGTGGCTTTCATTTAGTTTATGTTGTTAATGTTACATATTACATTTGCAGAATAAAATGTTGCTGCCTTTTTTTCCGTTATGAGAACTTCTTTAGTTTTGGAAGAGCTCAGTTTTGTTTAACTTTTGATCCATTTATGATAAGTAGTTTGAGAATGGTTGCAAGAAGCTCCCAGTGTTGCATGATGAAACAGCTGGTGTCTCATGCCATTTATTTAAGGTGTTTTATTTACTTATTGGAGAAAATGTTTAATTTTTAACAAATATTTATTGAACATCCACTCTGTGCCATGTACTCCTATATCAGGTGCTAGATATATATATAGATGAATGACACTGCACTCCAGCCTGGGTGACAGAGCAAGACTGTCTCAAAAAAAAAAATTACTAGATAATAGAATTCAAGAATTTATTACATACTACTACTTGGTGTACTGATAATCATTTAAAATTCAAGATTCTTTGCGTCTAATGGG